TTGTCCCTTTACTTATTGTTACAATCGTCCCCAAGACGCCATTTCAGCTTCATTTGTTAAAAACAATGTTAATTAATTAACAAAACTAATCTTTTTTTTTGAAATGTTAATTAAGGTGTCCACTTACATATTCGGTTAATAATTTTTATCTGTTTAAACAAAATTACTTTGTTACAATAGAATATTCTAATACTAAAAAAAGTACTTACGTAGCGTGAAAATATCTTACATAAAAATGGTTGCCAGCAAGGGTGTACATGTAGATTTATTAAATACACCTTGTGCGCCACCTAGGAACCAAATCTAGAACCCGACACTCGAAATTTTTGCTCTGTTACAACCCTGTTACAATTGACTCCACTCTCCCCTACATTGCGCAAAGCAATAATTTTTACGTATTTTATTTGAAAATGGTATACATTGCAACGCATTTAGTAAATAACAAATTAAACTTGACATGCGTATTCTCTTTTTATAATTAATTAATAATGATTAATTAAATAATTAAGAAGCTACAATGAATAATATATATTACATAATTTTTTAAGAATTCAGCTCCCTGACAACTGTATTCGAGAAAGCTAGCTATTCTAGATATTAAGTGCCATACAGCTATTTTATTAGGTACACTGAGAAAAAAAGTATGATCAAAATTACGGGAGCATGGTAAAATTTACCACATTTCTGGCACCATAGAAGGACCAATAAGCTCGGTAGTTCTAACCGGAGAGCATTTCAGCAATATTAACAGTAAAATATGGCTTTATAATATGTGATAAAATTTGGTAATTTTATCATGATCAAAATTTGGTAATTTTTTCATTAGATTGAATTTACTTTTTCGTTTTGATTTTTTACTAAATGTGTGGTAAAAAGAACTTTAATTTTAAAAATTAGAATTTCCGGAGAACCGTTACCATATGAACAGAAAATAAATGATTTAAATACCGTATATTATGGTTTTATTAACAAGAAATATAATTTCTTTTTACCAGAAATGTCATTACCATACAGTACGGCAATTTTTACAACAAAAAAATTTTCTCCGCATGAGATTATAATATTTAATCAAGTTATATACTTGAATTTGCAGTCGAATATTAGACTCATTCTCAATTCTTAATAATAACAATAACTTAAAAATTTCATAAACATATGAAGATCTTGGGACAATACAAAAAGGCACATTTTCACATTGTAGATGGGAGCTTTTTGGCAGGAAAAACACTCCAATTTCCATGTAAGCAATAAAATGTTTCTGTGTATTGTCCTATTATATGAAGGGAATTCTGAAAACTTGTAAGTTACTCTGGTGACAGTACCAAAAAAAAAAAAGGAACTTGATGTAACGTCTCTTTCAAACAAATGTTGCTCATCAAAATGTAGTGATAATGTAGTGGATGTATGAGACCATACAACTATCTCCAACCTCTTGTAGCATAATTTTAGTAATTTCCATTATTATATTATACAATAATAACAAAATTGTTGATTCCTTTTTTGCAGTGAGACAGAGGACCTCATAGTGATAATAAACCGAGCCAGAGATTTAGTAGGACCTATTCCAAACTCAGTGATTGATAGTTATATCAAAGTATTCCTACTACCTGATAGATCAACAAACATGCAAACTAGGGTAAGATTTGTTTTAGATCGAACAAACTCTTATTTTTAACTATTTTATTTTCAAGTTGTGAGGTATTGTGTAAATCATTGTAGTGTGTTTCATATTTTGTAAGGTTAACCTACAGTCTTGAACAAAGTAATTACTTTGGTAAAAATATACTTGAGGCTGCCCCTTGGCGAAATTGGCGACTTATGTTTGGCGCCAATCCTGTTTGAGCGCAACACCGTGGTAACAGGAATGTCGGCCAAAACATAATGATATTTCAATAAAACATTAAAAAATTTCAACAAAACATCGGCCAAAACTTTATAAAATTGCAATGAACCCAATATAAGCTGATTTTAAGAACTAGTCTGCTCCTAGATCTCGAATACTAGAGCATTTTAGAAATTTATTTTAATCAATTTATTCAATCAATTATAGATTTATATATATATACAGGGTGGTTCTAAAAAGATGGGCGAAATTTCAGGAAGTGATAGTACACACCCAAGCAAACAATTTTTATGAAAGATTGCATGGTCGAAAACAAAACGCAAAGGTGCTGGCTCATTTGGAAAGTTGTTTGATGCAAACGTGAAAGCTCCATTCCTGTAGCGAGTTACTGCGTTGCTTTGCTTGTCGCTTAGCTTTCAGCCGCTGCAGGGAAAGTTCGTGATATGCTTAGTGTGTTTCAGAATGTTCGCCTATCTTTTCTTCGCCGTTGTACTGCGTGCATAGCCGCTGCCAGCCACTGTTTTGAACACTTATTGTAATCACATGCCATTAAATTTGCTTTTATAACTTAACTTCATCGTTCTTTGTGTGTTTTTGCCTCAT